GTCTGCTTCCCATATTTCCCTGAAATAAAATAATCCCTGGTAAAATAATTTCTAAATATGCCACACTCTATAAATCTGAAATTGAGAGGTTAAAAAAATTAGGCAATTGTTTATAGGTTGCTGAACACCAAAATAGATCTATATAATTATGGCATCTCATTCTGAGGTTGATTCCAAATTCTTCATTCATGACCCATGAAAGACTTGTCCTAAAAGCCAACATTAAGGCAGGCCAAGTTTCCTGTAAGAAAATTATTCTAACAATATCTTTGTATATGACAGTTCTATAAAACATTCTTTTGACTTACATAGACTTGAATGTATCTAAACTTGCACACTAACAAACATAAACCACAAGAACACACTCAAGTGTTAGCCACGGATTTTTAAAAAAACAATTTTACCTATCTAAAATAACCTCTTACTTTTTACAATGTCAGTGCAGGAGTCAGGCAAATTATTTCCCAAAGCTTATGCCAATAAAAGTTGGAAAGGGAGAATATTATAGGGTTATATGAGCCATACAATGATATAACTAAAAATCGGCTGAAGGACAATGTGTTATGAACCCTTTCATACTGGGAAAAGCCATTCTAATTCTTCTCAGTATAGTCACTCTTTATGTCCAGTTCTTGGAAAAGTAAAACCCCATTATAGAGAACTGTGAGGATCTTATTCCTTTGTCACAATGGAATCTAGGTGGTAGTGGTAAACCTTGCTGAATAGGTGAACCATTGGTGAAGGTTATGAATCTCCTTTGTCAGACCACATTTTTGTCACAGCAGTAATTGCCACAAAGGAATCTAACCTTCAGACTAAAAAACCTTCTCCTAATACATATAAGGAACATTTTTTATTGAGCTTTAGATGATTCATCAAGGTAAAGTTTTGCATGTGCCCGTCATATGTGAAAGATAGTGGTTGAAAAGTTCAAATCCTCTTGCCTAAAATTTTTGCCTGTCACAGAGAAATAACAAAATGTACAGTCACTTAGGTTCAGACCCTTAATTCCTGATATTCAGTGAGTACAATGCTCACTCACTCGTTTATTCTTATGCCTGGAGGCAAAGGTAAGGCACACATGAATTTGGAAGGGCAGTCTCTTTGTCTGAATTTGCACCTTGAAGGACTTGTTCTGGCACTGGGCCACCCCAGTCCCTAAAACAAGTAAGTCTGAGAGGAATGGACTCAGAGATATTTTAAACAGAGAGCACAGAATGTGATACTGATTGATATCAAGGCAGTATCTTGTTGGTACAGGATCAAGGGGCATAGTAGTCATGGGTAAAAGCACCCATAGTCACCAAGCACTTCATGGTTCCAAGCAGTCCCATACTGCTCTAACTTGTAAGTCAGCTGGGACATGGGGAACCCAGAGAAAAGACATTCTTTTCATGAGGGGCCAGAACATGGTGTAGTACATGGTCTGCTTCAGGCGCTCCAAATGGCTGGAAAGGACATACAACATTGCAAAGACAACGCATAACCTGACACATAAATTGAAGGCCTAAACTACAGACCTTTGAAGGTTTGTTTTCCAGGCTGGCAATAAAAACTTTCATAGATAACAGCCAGCACCATATTGAAGAGAGAGATGAAAGGTAATAAATCTACAAGAAGGACTCAGGACCAGCATCACAGCTATGATCTACCCAGTGTCTCTATCAGTTATCACCTGATCTTGACAAAGTACTTCTAAGGAAATAGTTAGACTAGTTAGACACACCACTATCTTTCTCCCCCTCCCCCAAAGCCCTCTTCATCAGATTGGAAACATGTCTAAACTTCAGTGTTTTAGTTGCCTGTGCGCCATCATCATTTTAAATTCAAGTAATCTTCCTTGGATCCTTTTGGTGTAATGGCCTGCCCTCCTGTGATTTAGAACCTTAAAAAATGTGCCCTATAAATGAACATATTTAAATAATGTTGAAATATGCATTTACTTATTACATTTCAATTTTAAAATTAAAAAAAAAACACATTCTGACTTGTTATATTTTCTCCCTTCTGAATATTTTCTTGTCCTCCTCCTCTCTCTCTCTCTCTCTCTCTCTCTCTCTCTCTCTCTCTCTCTCTCTCTCTCTCTCTCTCTCTACACACATACACACACACACATGCCACATATCTTTTAGTTCACTTCAGAACTATATATCATTTGGTAACACTGCAAGATTTACAAAATGCTTCCAAATGAAAAGCTAAAAAGCGTTAGTGTTTTTCTCCTTTATTATCAGTTTTACAGAATTGAAAAAAAACTTCCTAACACTCGATTCTTAAATTTGTTCTAAAATAAGCTGAAAATCAGGCCACACAATTAATTCAATTTAGTCTGTGATTTGCCTAAATGAGTCTTGCTCATCAATAAATAAAAACAAAAAACTCAGCTGATCCCACTTAGCTTCTATGAATAAACATGTATTTTCAAAATGTATTTAAAACAAAAACAAACAGCTCAGACCTACTCACTCAGCCGATCAGATCATTTCCTGATTGCCTTGACACCATTCAAGGAGGGCCCTCAAGCAGGCAGAAACCTGACAACTTACAAACCTTTAGAACATGCAACTTATACCACTGGTAAGCTGGCCTCAACACAAACCACAAAATGACATAAGATTTACAGTAAAACAAAATGTTTGTTCAAAAAGCACAAAGAACTGGCTGTAGAAAACAGAAATCATGTACAGTTTGTCCCAATTCTTTCTGAATCAATAATAGTCTGTTCTATAGGGTAATTGATCTCTAACTTCCTCTGATGCTCATATATTTCTTGTTGTTTTTTTGCCTAATAGTTTTTTCACATACCCATCCTCTCTATTTTTTACTGTCCTCTGATCTTCCCTTTTGTGTTTCCCTTAACCCTTAGTACCACACTACATACTTATCAAATCCATTTGACAGCCAAGAGCTCACTCACATAGAAATCCTGACTCACCCGCTCTGCCAGCCAAAGTCACCCACGTATGCCACAGTCCTCAACAACAAAAAACTGCAGACATTCGGAGGCTTTACAATCTGCAAAGGAATCACTTTCTTACTTCCCCATGCCTGCCTTCCCACCCCAATCCCCAGCTCCAGTCCTCTTTCAGAATGACCCCACTGAAAATGGTAACGTAGTAATGGAAGCCACAACAAATCCTCCAGCGTGAGGTTGGAAACACCTCAAGGAATCATTGCACAATTCAAGATCTTTCTGAGGCTGCACTTCCTGAACCACTACCTTTCAGAAGATAGTGTGTTGGGGTGTATACTGGGTGATTTGCCACATTGCCCATCATGCCTCTCCTAGGAGCTTCCTGAGGCCAGAGCTCAGTCATTGAGGGCTTGGATATAAGAACTCAGAATGATGTGGTTGGCAAACTCATTAGTCAACAAATATCAACAGTACAACAATTGAAATTTCTTTTGAGAGCCACATTTTTTAAACTTAAACTTCTTCTAATGCCACTTCTTCAAAATAGACTCACCCAGGCTGTGGTATTTTGTGGAAGAGCCACACTCAAGGGGCCAAAGGGCCGCGTGGCTCGCGAGCTGCAGTTTGCTGACCACGGGCTTAGACCATTGTGATGAGGGGTGCAGTTCCCATTGACTCTCTTTCCATTTTAATTTTTTGTCTATGGGCTTAAGGACTGCTGCCATCCTGGGGCAGTGTCTCAGTACATGGCCTAGAGCCAGTGATACATGCTTGTAAGTACAGTCCCCAAGTCCAGCTACAATTGTATCTGAAGTTTTCTCCAAACAACAACAAAACATCACCTGGGAGTGCGCCTGAGCCAATCATGACTCAAACCTGCCTAGATGTTTGCATGTCTGGAAATATTTTTAAAATGTCTTACGAATTGCCTCTCTGATGTGAGAGCCAGGAAAGACTTCAACAGCATGGGTAACCAGTACCATAGCTAAATCATAGACAAAAAAAAAAAAAAAAAATTATATCAGCCACTAATTTTATTTCACCTAGAGAATGGGCATGCTAATATCTGGCATTAGCATTATGGGTTAAATTCAGATTAGTCTCATAATGATTTATATAATTTTCTTTTACTGGAGAGTGTATTCTAGTGCCTTAATTACCATTGCTTAGTACAGGGGTAATTTTAAATATATGCAATTTATAGTTTAAAAAAATAATCAACAATCCTCACGTTTTTAAACATTCAAACTCAAAACCCTATATTTTAGTGTGTAGCCAAATTATAGGAAGAAAAACAGAAAAAAAAATGAATAAGAAACTTTAAGAATCCTATGTAATAAAAGTGTAATATGCTGTCTCAACCAGTCACTATGACGCCCACTGACCACCAGGGATAGACGCTCCAATCAGTAGGTTAGCTTGCTGCTGGGGTTCGGCTGATTGGGGCTGGGTGAGAGATCCCAACCCACCCTGGAGTCCTCCCACAATCCCTCCCTGGCCAACCGGCCCCCATCAGCTTAGATCAGCACAGGCCGGCCAACCTCCTGCAGTCCCTCCCCAGCCATCCCCCATTAACCCTAATTGGGAGGCCTAGGGATCCCACCCATGCACGAATTTGTGCACCAGGCCTCTAGTTAAATATAAACCTTATTATGTGATTAGTGCGTAAGCCCTTTTTGACAAAATTGATGTCTATAATTGACCTGTGTATGGGAACCGCGAGTGTCCAAAGAATAATATCGTATATCTTATCAAAGAAATAATTTGTTACACTGGGCCGTTGAAATATTTTGCTAGAGAAGTGGAAGTTAATGGTCATACAGATGAATTAGTCTCAGCTCTTTGGGTGTGGTTTCTTAATGCAACCTACATGTCTTTTCTTCTAAATAAAAAGATACGGGGAGAACAAAAACACTCACAGGCTGTTGGTTTGGGAAATAGATTTTTCTTGCCAGGCAAACAAACTGCACTGTTCATTTTAAGAAATGGGGTTTGTTTTTTGTTTGTGGTTTTGTGTGTGTGTGTGTGTGTGTGAGTGATTTCATATAAAAAATGCCAAGGCAGCCTCTCAAGTTCACAACCAGAGTCAACTCTGTGCAGCCAGAGCATCTTCCTCTACCAAGGACAGCTCCAAGGCGTTGTCATGGCTGCTGGTTTTCACCCTGAAGCTGAAAGAACCGTAGAGTTTTGCAGATTCTTTGGAAGAGGCAAACCTGTTGCGACGGTACAGCTCCCCCTTCCACATGGACATCATGAGCAAACAGGACAGAACGACGCCCCCAAGAGTGAGCAGGCAGAGCCCCGCGATCACACAGCGGTCCAGATGCGCCCCCAGCCTGGCGCTCTCCTTCTCCAGCCGCTCCATCTCCCGGGCCGCCACGCTGCTGGGATCCACAGTCACTTCCCGCGGGACGATGTAAGAGATGATCACCAGCAAGATGCCAGTGACCAGGAACAGGATGGCGCTGACGAAACCATAGTCTATGGACTTGCCCGAAGACGTGGCCTCCGAACTTGTGTCTTCTTCATCGTCGGATATCAAGGATATGGCAGCTTCGTGGGGCCACTCGTTGGGATTTCCCCAGCCAAGGTCTCCTTGGTGATGACTCAATCCTTTCGCTGAAGGGGAGCTCCGGTCCCTCTGCTCCAGGTTAACGTTCTCGTCCACGTAGGTAAAAGAAGTTTCTAGCTCCTGGCTGCAGCAATTGCAGACTGTCCGTTCTGCTGTTTGGTGGTTCCCTGAGCTGAGAGGGCCTGGTGGGAAGGAGTCTGGCTGGAGCACACTGTCTTGCAGAGAGGAGGAGGGAGAGGCTGGAGAAAGACCAAGTTTCAAGCCGTCCACCTCGGCTGCCCTTGGCGTGGCTGTGCAGTGTCTCTGGCAGCAGAGAGCAGCTCTGGTGGCTGCTGCATCTGCCTGGTCAGCTGGAGGCCCTCCTGAGCTCCAGTCTGCAGCATCACCCCAGGCTGCCTGGCCACTCTTCCCAGCAAGATGGTGGGGCTCCATTGGAACTACTCGGACATCGCCCAGCAGCTTCCAGAAATTCCGACAACAGCAGCCCAGAGGAGAACCCGACTAAGGCTGCCCCACCAGTGCTTCTGAGGCCCCCATCTCCTTGGCAGCCACAGTGTTGACACTTCAACCCCCGGTCCTCCTCAGAGGGGTGATGGAAAGAAGAGAATATCTGGTAGCTAGAAAGTGTGAAAAGGGCAAACCCTCTGATTTATCACGAGGCTTCACACTAGGAGTCTCAGGCCAGGGAAGAAAAGGAGCAGGGAGGAAGCAGCAGTGTCTGTGGAGAAGGCATTGCCGTCACCGGGCCAAATTTATCCAAGGATTCACACATTTCTGTGACAGGATCCCTCAATGAGAAGGCGGGCTTCCTGTACAGAGACACAAACGAGAAAGACGGGGACCATTTTTTTTTTTTTTTTAGCAGAACTGCTGATTTTCTGGAGACCCTGGGAAGCACAGGATTCTCAACATTTCAGTTACGTTATAAGTGTTTACCCTCTCTTTAATCCAGAGCAGATTCTAATACAGATTAGCTTTAGCACATCACCACAGGTGAATGCACACATCACTATCAGTTGGGCTCTATGGGAGCTGGGGCTCAGCGTTTTGACTGTGTGGGTGAAAGATGGCAGGCTACCTTAGCCACCTCCCCTAACCTTGTACTGCATGCACCAATGACCCCGGTCACACAGCCCTGTGTTTACAAGACCCCAAGTTTGTTCACTTAACTCATCCTCTTGCTGCTACATGAGGGCAGCAGGTTAGTGTGTAGACAACATGCCTCATGGTGTGATACCTGCAAACACTATATGCCAACCCACTCCTACACACACACACACACACACACACACACACACACACACACACACACACACACTTCTGCCTGCTTCAGGTATAGTTGACTACTCCTGCTCACTAACTCTGCACGGGTCTGAGTTCCTCTCCCTCTGCACGCTTTGCTAACACAAGTGCACAGGAGCTTGACCAGAAGTTTTACAAACCCAATCTAGAAGTAAACTGACCATAAAGGGCAATTTATAAGCCCACCGAGTCAGGGTTCGGTTGAGGCAAACAGGGGAGAAGCAATTTCCAAGGGTACCCCTGGAACTCTGCATTCACATCACTCCACCCCAAGCCCAGCAAGGGACCTTCCTGGGATAGAACTATTGTTAAGTTACCCAGAAAGCCATTTGCCCGTCTTTCTCTGCCTCGGACATCTTTCTGAGGAATAAAAACGCACTTTCTAAAGTACTAGAGCTTTCAAAGAAAATAAAGCCCCAAGTCCAGGGTAGGAATTGACTTAATTCATGGCTTGGGGGTTTATTATAATATTACTATTCAAAATCCACAGCTCCACCAGCCGATAAGCCGCACACAGGTCAGGCTTACCTAAGGTCTACCCGACAACTCACTTAAAATACCGGAAAGAGAATCCACACGTTTTCTGCTATCCATTAGCTTTAAAACACACACACACACACACACACACACACACACACACACACACACACACCAAAAAACAAACAAACAAAAAACACAAAACAAAACAAAACAAAAAACACTTTCCTTCTATTTTTGGAGTTTCTCTGCAGCTAAAACAAAACAAAAAAAATACACCAAATGCAGGAAAATCACAACTGAACCAGGGCTTTCCCTGAGCGAGTGGACAGATTCCCTCCTGCAGGACCCCGCCGTGAAGGAAGGGATGGTGAGGAGTTTGATAACTGAAAGGAGAAATCATCTGGCAGGTCGCTCAGACATCAGGCGCCCCCCTGAACCTTTGGCACCATGAACTCATCGCACTGGACTTCTCGGGATAAAATCGGCCAAGTCCCTTAGGGGGCTCCCAATGTACAACAAAGAGGGAGAGGAATCTCCACTCGATGCCCTGGTCCTACGTCTATCTTTTTCTTCAAAGGGGACTCCTCTGGTTCCCAGGGCTGGGCGACCTACTCCCCTTACAGTGCATTTCCTTTGCAGCTCCTGGATCCGGGCTCTCCATCCTCCACGGAGGAGAGACAATCCCAGGAGACCTGGGATAATCCTTTCCCTTTCTTCTCCCCGGTGAAGAGCGCAGTTGATAAAACTGCATCTCAAAGCCAGGAGACAACGATCTTCCTAGTCTGTCGCCATCCATGAAAGCATGAACGCCTGCGCTGGAGCTAACGGACACGGACGGGCGAGGCTGGGCTGGGAAGGGCGACCTCTGCGTGCGTCCTGGGAGCGCGGTGCAGGGACCAAGCCCTGGGCAGTGGTCTCCCCCAGGAATCAACTCATTTCATGCCTTTGAACTCCGCACCCTCAGGAAGCACCGGGACGGGGCTGCATGCATGCATTCATTTGCAGAGTACCCTGAGGCTGCTGGGCAGGCACCTCGGGCAGAAAGTGGGGACGCGTGCGCTCCCCTGCGCCGCCCGGCTCCAGGAGTCTCTCCCTGGCTCCAGCTCCTCTGCTCTCCGCCACTCACCTGCTCGGGCCACCCAGTGCGGCTGCAGAGGCGCGCCAGTCCCCGCGGGTTCCTCGGGAAAGTCCGCGATCACCGCCCTGGCACTTGTAGCCACCGCACGCCCATCGCAGAGCTCCTCGCTGTGGGCTGTGCCCACGGTGCCAGAGGGGCGGGGCCGGGCTGGGCGGGGCTGGGCGGGGCGGGGCGCTCCCTCTAGCGGAGCATCCCGGGAGATGTAGTCCAGGGGCGGGGGTGGAGCTGCCTGTCTCTCCCAGGTCTGTTCTCTTTCCCACCTCCTGGCTTCTGCCTCCCCTAGACCTCTACCCTCCTGCCTCCTGAGCTCAAGGCGGGGTCCCCCAGCCTCAGGGGTAGTAGCCACAGGATGATGGGGGAAGGAGTGAATATTTAGCCCCTACCAAAATAGATGCTTATGCTTGCTGTCTTATTTAATAGAAGACATGTTCTCATTGGACTTTATTAATCTTTTTCCAGAAGAGGAAAGAGGCTTAGAGGAATTAAGGTTTCAAAGACAGTAAGTGGCTGCTAATAAATGGTATCCAGGAACCTGTTTCTAACGTCATTAGCCTTGCCCACAAAAATCAGGAGAAATGTGGCGACCGAGGATAAGAGATTGTCCTGTTCACCTATGCATCTCCTGTGCAGGGTGTCTGGCATCTGTTGGGGGGTTATTATTATTATTCAAAATCCACAGCTCCACCAGCCGATAAGCCACACACAGATCAGGCTCGCCTAAGGTCAACCGTACAACTCACTTAAAATACCGGAGAGGGAATCCACACGTATGAACAGTAATGGTACAAAGTAACAATGAACATAAATAGCACATTGCCGGACTCTCCTCATCACTTAGGAGACAGGTACTCGGCTTTTCGAAAGTTGGCTTAATGCCACCTCGACTTGTAATCCAAAGAGGATTTTGACTTTCATGAAGAAAAAAAAAGGGTCGGCATTTGTTTGCAGCAAGCTGTTATAGAGGCAGTATGCTCTGGTGAGTGAAACAACACGGTGCATATACTATTTCTACTCCATGTAGGCTGTGTATTTATCACATCATTCCTTTTACTATGCTGGTGTTGTTTTAGGTTTTGTTTGGTATGGTTTAGTGGGCTATTTCTGAGATCTGGGAATGCTCAAAAATGTTCCCCACGTACATTCATTGGTAATAATTACTTCTTCCCTCCGGGCCATTTCAGCTTACAAAAGGTTTCATAGGAACTTTCTACTTTTGGATAAGAAAGGTGGGGAACCTGCACATTAGCTCATTTAATGCTCACAATTAATTTTTAAAGTCCTATGAAGATAAGTTTTACAGAAGAGAAAACTGAGTAGCCCAAAGTAATACAGCTAGTACTCAGCAGAGGTGGAGCATAAACCACAACAGCTTCGAAATCTTAATTAAGCAAACTGAATGAGTAGAGGGAGGACCAGAAGGCAAGAAGATAAAGGGTTAGAAACAAAGGAAATCTGGAGGTTGAAGCAACTGAGTTGTGACCCCCAGATTAGGACAAAAGAACTCCTTGGGGCCATTAACCTCTTTCTTACCAGAGTGGACTGCAGCAGCCAAAGGAAAGCTTGTGGATCATTTCCAAGTTCTCAGCATCTCCTTTGGGGTGATTCTAGGGTTATTGATTGCTTTCATCCAAAGGGAGCAACAGAGGGTTATAACATTTATAGCATTTTGCCATTTGTGAGTGGCTCATAGGAATTCTGTGGTTGCTTGTTTGCAAGTGACACATCAGTCTCCTATAATGATGATTTTGTTGGTTTTCTTTTATATTAATAGAACCCATAGTCTTATAGTGCCAGGGACTTCCCAATCCATCCCCTTAAAAGTCTTTTTTTCCCCTGTGGCTCTCTTTTAGCAATAGTTAGGCCCATGTGTTTTGTACATATGACATGTGTATTGTGGTTTCTTTTTCTTTGTTCGTTACCCTGTTCTGCAGTGAGAATATCCTTCCTCCATTTTCCTGTTCTCTCCACCATTCAAGGGCGGTCTCATCCAGCCACGTGTACAGAGATTCAGTCTGTTCCCAGGACTGTATATTTAAAAGGGAACACAAGGACTCCCTAGGGCGTCTAGAAGAGAGAAGGTAAAAAGTTGAAGAAAGCTGAACTCTCATTGGACAAGGAGATGCTGAAGGAATTTGGGATATTTAGTCAGAGAAACAAACCTCGTGGAAAGGAAAAACTAGCTTGAAATAATTTGAAGTTTGTAAAATAAAAATTCTGTATCATGATTAAAGAGGTAAAAGCAGCCAGCCGGTGTGGCTCAGGGGTTGAGCATCGACCCTTGAACAGGAGGTCATCATTGGAGTCCCAGGGGGCTGATAGACTGTAGCAGGACCTAAGCTGGCCTGGTACTGGATGGGACTGTATCCCAACATAGAATGGGAAATCTGGGCAACCATTTTAATCTTGTGTCTTCAGAAAGCAAAAGGGGACTTCTTCCTTGGTGAGATGAAGGGAAGTGGAATCTTGGAAACTCAGGGGTTTAATTCCACAGAAATAAAATTTTCTGCAATAA